TCTGGGAGTTGAAGTCCTCCAGGCTTAAAGTTGCCAAGGTTGGAGACCTCTGTCTAAGAGCATGTTTCTTCATTTCTCCCTTGGGGAAATATAATATTCTGCCTCTTTTAATATTCTCCAAAATATTTTATTCTTCTAGAGGGGAAGGAGCTTCCCACAGCTTCATCATTGGAGGTTTTTAAGAAAAGACTGGACAGCCACTTGTCTGAAATGGTATAGGGTCTCCTGGTTGAGCAGGGGGGTTGGACTAGAAGACCTCCAAGGTCCCTTACAGCTCTGTTCTGATTAAATGAAGAGTTTTGTTCGTGTTTGCAACCCCAGAAGCACGCCTGGGATGGTTTGTTAGTTTGGCAGCACAATCACCTCAGCAATCTAACTGACTTCAATCTTACTCAAGTCAGCAACATTAAGGTTTCAAGATATAAATCATATTGGTTGGATTTGGGTGTGCTGAGTTCAAAGGAAAAGCATATTCTTTCAAATACAGCTGCGGGGGTATATAGGTAGTGGATCCCAACTCTTGAATTTTGAAACTGTAGGTGTAAAAACCTCTGCAGGTTCAAAAATCACGGTAAGGAATTAGGAGGACCCTTCTCGAAAAACAGGGGTAGACATAATCTACCTATGAGTAAATGGAAAATGTAGAGTAGAAGGCTGTACACCTTTCCTTAAAAATAAGTCCCACTGAGCTAGTGGATGCATAAAATAATAAATAATTCTCAAATACTAATATAGCATTGACGGTGATTATGACATACTTTCCATGTGTCCAGATTAATTTCATCCAGTTCATTTTAACTTCTTGAGGATTTTCTTAGATTTCCTTAAACCAAAACTGTTAGGAGCCATGGTGCCACAGGGGTTAGAATGCAATATTGCAGGCTAATTTTGCCAACTACCAGCAGTTTGATTTTGACCAGCTCAAGAATGACTCAGTGTTCCATCTGAGGTCAGTAAAATAACCCCTATTGTTGGGGGCAGATATGGTTTATATTGCTTTAATCACTATCACTTTAATCACTATGGTTCATATCACTTTAATAAACCACAACTGATTTATTTAATTGCACCAATCTCAAAACAGGAATGGAAAATCCTAAACCCATGCTTCTTAACTTCGGCAACTTTAAGGTGCATGGATTTCATTTCCCAGAATTCCCCAGACAGCATGAAGTTCACTCATCTTAAACTTGCCAAGATTGAAAAACACTGATCTACAGATAAAGATTTTTCCATTCCTCTTGTCCTGGTTCCTACTTTTATAAGCAATCATAAAGCAAAATCCCCATTCCCAACTCACCCCCACAGTAATGATCATGCAAAATCCCCATTCCCAACTTGCCCTAGAGCACTGGTTTTGTGCCTGGAAGACCGCCTGCACCACCCTGGAAGCCAAAACAGGGCATGGGGGCTGCCCCCCGTGCCCCGTTTTGGACCTGAATGGCCTCTTACACCAACCTGGAAGCAAAATGGGACGCATGGGGGGGACTCCTGGGAGGGGTGGGGCCAATCTGACAAATGTGGAAGAATTGAGCGGGGTAATTTACTTAACGAGGTCAGGAAAAGGTATTGGGTAGCTGAGTGCAGGACAGTTTTGTGATCATTCTGCCTTTTATTACACACATACACATTCCTCCAGCTATCTTCTGATTACAGGTAGTCTTTAGCAATCGCACTTAGACTTATATATCACTTCATAATTACAGTCCTCTCTGAGCGGTTTACAGAGTCAGCATATTTCCCCCAACAATCTGGGTCCTCATTTTACTGACCTCGGAAGGATGGAAGTCTGAGTCAAACTTGAGCCAGTCAGGATCGAACTCTTGGCAGGGGCAGAGTTAGCCTGCAGTACTGTATTCTAACCACTGTCCACCACGGCTCCTTGACTTAGGACCACATTTGGAACTAGAATGTTCTATTACTAACAAGATGGTTGTTAATTGAGTTATGCCTAATTTTACGATATTTTCTGCCATGATATAATCACTGTAGTTATTAAGTGAATCCGGAAGTTGTTAAACATATCCAGCTTCCCATATTGTCTTGTCAGAAGCTGGCTGGGAAGTTTGAAGATGGAAATCACATGACCCCAGGATACTTCTAACCACCACAAATACATGCTAGTTGCCAAGTGCCCAAATCTTGAACACATGACTATGGAGGTACTACAATTGTCAAAAGGGTGTGAACCAGTCACTTTTTTCAATGCCACTGTAACTTTGAGCATTTGTTAAATATCTGTATTACAATACCATTTGGTATTTGCTCAGTATTTTTCAACGTCGGCAAGATTAAGATGGGTAGACTTCAATTCCCAGAATGACTCAGTCAGCTATGGTTGGCTTCTGGGAGTTAAAGTCCACCCAACTTAAATTTGGCTAGGTTGAGAAACACTAACCATATCTAATCAAACTAACCAAATGGGTTTGCAACCAAAATAATCTGAATACTATAGAGAAACATCTGAAGCTGGGGAAATGCTTTAATTGACCTGATGTGAACCATACATGAATGGTGGTGCAGTTAGTAACAGCATGGTACAAAATAAGAGTTTAAAAACAAAAGAATTACAGTATATATTCTGTAGGAATGTTAAATGTTATGAGATACAATGGGTTAGAGGCAGGAAACACAAATGTAGAAAAGTTGCTTCCTGTCTCACAAACTTAAATTTAGTTTCTGACAAATGCGTTGATGGAAATATGCATTATGTTTTCAAAAGTACCACAGCTCTGTGTGTTTTTTAAACTTAATTTCCTCCTTACAGTTACTCTTATATTTGAATCCTACTGTAAAAAAGCAGTTTTATGAAACTTAATTTTGGAATGAAAACCTTTTTGGATTTTAATTGCAACAATTAAAAATATGGAATGATACATTCAGACCATATGGTTTCTTGATGTACTGTATGAAATCAAAAGAAGTTAAATGTATATTTGGTGTGTGTGTTATATCTATTATGATTGTAATTTAAAAAAAACTGTTCCCACTGATGATGGGATCAAAACGAATGTAAATAATTTTCAGCTTCCAGAATGTGAGAGTCTACATATGTGTCTCTTAACCCCAGCAACTTTGAAATGTGTGGACGTGAACTTCCAGAATCCCCCAGACACCAATGGGTAACTGGAGCTGATTAACTGCAACTGTTTACACTCAGTGTTTTGATTTGTAGACAAATTACTGGTATTTTGTAACATTTTAATTTCCTTACCAAATTTAAGGTAAGGATCAGGAGAAATTTCTTAGTGTTGAGACAAAAAGAGAGGGAAAAGTAACATTACCACTCAAGTATTATATTTCTCTTCATGATTTTATTCATAGTTAAAGCCCATGGCCTCTGAAGATCTTGCAGGCCAGTTATCAAATCTGTACATCGGACAGAACTCCTCAAATGCAGTTTCTCTAGAATTTGACCCCAATGTCAACTATCAGTTTGTGGAGATCTTAGATGAACGATACAAATGTACACGCTGTCACCTAGTCCTCCATAATCCGCACCAGACAGGATGTGGACATAGATTTTGCCAGCATTGCATTGTTTCTTTGAGGTATGAATGGCTTCATTTTCTTACAATATTTGTGCAAATCAATGTTGTCACTGTTCCCTTCATAACAGCTATACAGTTTGTGATTTTATAGAATGTGCAAGGGTAACCCAGAACTTTAAAAAGATGCTTATTTAATTTTGCTCTTCTGGGGGTGCTATAGAATTCCAGTAGTCTTATGTGCTGCCTAAAATAAATGAATTTCAGGTATATTTAGAATATATAGGCTATATATTCTATAACAGTTCTCCAACCTTAGTAACTTTAAGACTTGTGGACTTCAACTCCCAGAATTCCTCAGCCAGCAAAGCTGTGAGATCTTAAATAGCTGTATTTTCCTGTGAAGTTTTGTTTTTTTTCAGTAGTTGAAATAATATGTAACTTTAAGAGCACAAAAACATTACAATGATTGAATCAAGTGTGGCTTTGTGTCATATCTTTACAAAAATAGATATATTTTTTTCAAACTCCCAATCTATCTTGTTAAAAGTCTCATTTTGATCCACTAGGTTTTCAATAGAAGTTTGCTGTTTTCTTTTTCTGAAATATCCAGAAGCTTCTGGGTATATCTTATAAAAGAAATGAGCATGTAGGTGGTAGCTGTTATCTCAAAGTGACATTAGCTAATTAGGGTGTTACTAATGAACGTGTGAAGATAAAGCTATGTAGAATCATGTCTAGAGATACTGGCCTCACCTGCATCTTTTCTTCCCTTTATTTTGCTGAATAAACAGCTCATACTCACCTGGTAGTGATACTACCTCACTCAGATCATGTGAAAAACTATCTGTCTTTGAACTTCCCACAGTAGCATTTTAAAACTAGAGAAACCTCATTTTGTAAGGATATCTGTCTCTATAGATATAGATATATGGATATATAGATAAAGCTATTCTCATGAAATATACCCTATATTGCAAACTAACAATGCAAAATAGATGTTATAAATGCTATTTTTATGCACCAACAACATAAAAATAATAAATACAAAATATAAATACAAAAATTTCAAGTCTGTAACCAACGAAAATTTGTTTCTGTCCTTATAGAGATTTAAATACAGTATCTACATGTCCTATCGACAATGAAATAATAAAATTTCAAGAGGTAAGAAAAATTGTTTATATGACTATTTTTATATTCATATAATCAGTATCATGCTATTTGGAGCAATCTATTGAGTTTTTTTAATGTACTGCTAAATGGAAATTTCTAATCAAAATGAGGGAAATTTGAACCAAATGAAAAAGAAATATAAAAAATTGAAAATGATCCTTGCTAAATAGTATTTTCAAACATGATATAAAGATTGTTCTGAGACTTATAATTAGCATTATTTCCAGGTACAGGAAATCTTATCTTAATAATGTATTTCATTCCCATTTTCTTCATTCCTCATGTAATGTTGCAGTTGTCAGAAAGAGTATTATCATCTGTATAAAAGGCACATAATTAATATATAAAATGTAATAAGTAAGTTTGCCAGGCTGTTTCTTAAAGGCAAAGTATTGTCATGAATTACTTTTTTTTTACTTGTGTGTATATCAAAATCATACTTTTCTTTTAAATTTAAGGTTTTCAAAGATAATTGCTGCAAAAGAGAAGTACTCAATTTGCAAGTATTTTGTAAAAATTCACCCGCCTGCGCTGCAAAGTTAGGTCTAGGGCGATACCAGGTTTGTATTCCTGTATTATTATGCTCATAGAAACTGAAAGCCGATCTTTCTTCACTTTTTTATCAAATACTTTTTTGAAGAAAATAACAAATGTTAGAAAACTGCAATTCTTTCTCTATTTATTGCAATTTTTTTTAACTTATTCTCAAGATGCACACAGTTTAGTTTGATAGCCTAAACAAATTCTTCCAAACGTACTATTCAAGAACATGCAAAGACTAGATTTTTTTTTCCCTCTAGCTAATGCTGAAATGAAGGTTTAAGCTACATCATTCTAAAATCTATTCTATTGAACTAGATGTTTGTCACTGAGTTAATCCGGAACTTCATGCCATTTATTGCAGGGTGCCTTTGTTTTGCTCTATAAATGAGCAGCTATGCTCTCCTGACTGGTGACAAACTGCATATATAAAATATAGTGAGATAATGGTCAAGAATAGCACTCCACTGTCCCTCCTAGTTTTTACTCACAATTGGTTTGAGCAAGACATGCATGCTAAACAGAGCAGAATAGGGATCTGGTTTGGGAACACATGGCTTCTACAGTAATTTCAGGATGCAGAAAACTCCTTTGACTCTGCAGATGGAAGGGAAGGTAATTAGCTGTCCAGGACATCTTCCCTGAGGCCCATTAGGTTCCCTACCCCAAATTTAAAAAAATAAATGGGACATTAGCATGCAGAAATATATCAGCTTTTCCTATAGACCCCTGCCCCAAATATGTGTGGCTGCAGCCTAAAGTTTTGCTAGAATAGGACCCTCTCTAGCTTAGAAAAAAAAAGTTAAGCTGAGATAGAGGAAGCATCAAGAAAACGTAGTAGTGAGGAGAAACTTGTCCTTCCTGTAAATAATTTGGTATTGTCAGCAATTGTTGCTATCTAGGAATTTGCTATAAATTAATGTCACATATGAACATTTCAAAAGTTACCAATCCTAATAAAGATTCTTAAGGGATCCTTGTATTTTTGGCCCTTCATATGTAGGAATTTTCATGGATTTCTATTGTCTTTCTGTTTTTTGCAAGAATACAGTTTTGCTTAAAAGAATTTGACTTAAAATTCTTTTGCGAAAGTTGATGTAAAACAATGTCTACCATTCTTATTCGCATAGATTTGAAACGATGAAAGAAGTCTAAAATACACTGAATACAACAGGGGTTTTCAAACTTTTTCAGGATACAGAACCTGTTAAGTTAAAAAAACAATCCAGAATTCCTGATCAAGAGGCAGACTCTAATAATAGAAAATCAGCTGCATTCAAATGAATTTGTTGTTAATCTCTTATTGAATGTCTTAAAGTTCTCACAGAAACCTAGAGTTCTGTGGAACAGTTTAAAACATCCTGTGTTCTTTTTTAAAACTGACAATACTTTGAGAATTTTTAAATACTTTGCTTTTTTAAAAAAGGAAGTTGATAAATACCACTTAGACCAAATTGTTTGTAAGACTGAATGTCTTCCTCTGCCTCTTTCTAAATATGACAGTATAGACATGATTATTGTTCTTCCATCAATTGTATAGACTTATGTGTAGCTCAGGTGCAATCACTTTACTGTTCTCCATTATCATTTTCCTAAATCATTTCTTAATTCTAAATGTATTCAGATATTTTTATGGATAAACCTAATGGTATTAGTGGTATTCTTGTAAAAATTCTTTTTATGCCTGTTATGGTATCCTTGCACTTTTATGCAATTGTGCTTTTTCTTTTTTTCTTTTGCTCTTGTTAAAGTTTTCTATTTTCTGCATGATTTTTTTCCTGATTCTAATTCTGTTCATATTCTAAAATGTTCTTTCAAAATTCATGCAATTCCTGTCTGTTTTGAATTTATGACAGTGTTTTATTAGTGTAGAAAATATAGTGTGTGTGTGTGTGTGTGTAAATGGAAGCCTTTTCTGTACAGGGAGTAAACTTGTTTAACCTGGTGCTAACAGTTACAGTTTTTTCAGCATATAAAAGAAGGTGATTAATGAGGGTACTGATAAACTGAAGAAGTGTACATCATTAGGTACCATCAGTTCTATACTGAGAACAGCTTCTTCAAAAAATAATTAAAAAGAAGTTGTCCAACTCTGCAAAAAAAAGTTTGTAGTGCACTAGGAAGTGGTTATAGTTTTACTTTGGGACTATTTTATTGAAAACTTCAAAAGCTTCTATTTTTTGACTTTGATATTTCATGCAAACACAACTTTTATCACCAGCAACATGAGACAAGAAAAAAGAGGTTTGTTTGCTTGGAGGGAGAAAGATTTGTCACAATTTGTAAGTAGAAACCTATAGGATATGGCTGCGTTCTCTGCATAGTATAGTAATCTGTCTAATGTGGGTAGACTGTACAATGCATTATACTACTATTCTGTTTACAGGATCACCTACAACAGTGTTTGTTTGAAACTGTGCAGTGTACTAATGAAGGCTGTCATGAAAAAATTGTTCTGAAGGATTTAAAAGAACACCTTACTCAGCAATGTAACTTTCGAAAAGAACAGTGCCAATGCTGTAAACAGCCTGTGATATCAATTAATTTAAAGGTTAGATTTATCTAAAATGTTTAAATTGTGTATTTTAAATCACATTATAATTTTATTTTAATAATGCTATGAATTATATATGAAAATACCTAGAAGATACTATATTGGAGAAAGTTTATCTCACAGTCTTGAAAATAATGAAGGCACTCTGGATTATGCTATCATCTATAAACCACATAATTTTGAAAATGCAAATTAGAAGCATTTTGACACTAGCTGAAATTCACTGGCTGCTAAAGAGCTACCGACTGTGAGATTCTATCATTTCCGTGTCAGACCTTATTAGAACTTCAAAGACTAGTTCATGTTGCCATAACTTTCTCAGAAGTTTCCTGAAATGTTTTTGTATTGCTGTTTCTTAAGTATCAAATAATTGTCTTGTACAGTAATTTCAGGCTGGGAGAGTAACATTTTTAGTTTATGCTTGGTTTTTTTCCAATCTGCAACCTTTATGGAGTAATTTCTAAAAAAAAACTAGAAACAGATACCAGTTTTGTACTTTATAAGCAATTAGTTTATTGCTAGTTGTTTAAACGTATTTTCAAATTAAGAACAGCAGAAAATGGAGGAAAATCAAAGCAAGAGAAACCAGTAACTATAAGGGACCCTCCCTAGTTCTTTGGTAAGTAAAATCCTGGAAGATCAGAAGTGCTTTTAAGCATCTGTTACTCTAATCTTATGATAAAGGTAGTGTTAGTGATCAAGGTTTTGGTTTCTTGTGTAAGATATCTTGAAGGGCTGATATCAATTTTGCAAATCTGAAAGCTCTTTTCCCCTTCCTTACTGTTATTTTCCAGAGAACTATTGAGGGTCCCTTATGAGTCACTTCCCACACATTCCTTCCTTTGGTGGGCTGAGATAGCTCTTGTCTAACTATTGCAGCTCTTCTGTCCCCAAGTTTATTTTCACAGACAATTACAGTGATATAATGATGAAAGATTAGCTGTTTTAAATTGTCTATCTTTAATATATTAGTTGTGATATCAATTCTCTGACAGCTTATTTTTTATATAGTCCAATGCACTATCAAACTAGAGGTGTATTGTGGTTGTACAGGTGTTTGGGCAGGGTGGGAGGAATTTGCAAGCACTCAATCACCATTACATGCTAACTATATTTGGGAGGGAAGGAAATGGAAATAGCTGATTGGCTGTAGCATGAACGGAGACTCCACATTGCTGCATTCTGATATTGTCCTTTAGGCAAGTTCAATATCCACAGATAGAACTTTTGGAAAAAGTAGTTTTCAACTGTATTCCTTCCGATAATGTCAATAATCCCCCTAAGGGACTGTCCTTGTGGACTGTGCCTGTAATTGATTCTATTAGGACTTTAAATAAGCAGTGGCAAATAAACATTTATTTACAATCATTTGTATGCCACCTATTTTCACAAACTGACAAATCTTTGTTGTGCTTGTTAAATGTCATCATCACCATCTTCCAATGTATTTTCAGACCCATGAAAAGGTAGATTGCCCGAATTATCCCTGGATTTGTCCCTATGGCTGCATGCAAATGATTTTGATGAAAGAGGTACAATATTATTTTTGGCTCATTAGGAAAATAATTTTAAAATATGATACAATATTTTAATAATTATGCCTACTTTTGCTAGTTTTTATCTGGTATGCAAATAATTGTATTTAGTCTTAGCAAAGTAATTCTATATTTCCATAAATATCACCTAGTATTAAAGTTATTATTGAAATTGTAAATGATCATTAGACAGTTTCCTTATTCCTAGGAAATTGTCTAATTTTGACCAAAGTTTTTATAGAATATTGGTAAAAATTATGCTTATTAACCCTCATTCTCCTACCAAAATATTTCATTAATGCCTACCTTAATCTGTGATTTTTTACAGGCAGAAGATCATGTTTTGGTATGCCCTGAAATGGAAATTGATTGTCCATATAAAATGTGTGGCTGTCCTAAAAAGGTATTGCACAATAAGACAGACATAATTGGTACTACAGTAGAAGCAGATTTTCCAAAACACAAAAGGGAATCAGTTAATCAGTTAATATTTTTCCAATCCTTTTTGAAGTTTGAGCAATACTGAAGATTTCCCCAAAATCCTAATTACTTTAAAAGCATGCTGAGAATGTACTGATCACATCTATTTTTGTAGGTTAAAAGAAGCAAGCTTTTAGAACATGAGAATATCTTCTTGAGAGAACATATGCTACAGATTGTAGATAAAAACACAAAGCTGGAAGATCAGGTAAAGTTCACATTCTTGTAAATTCCCCAGAGTTGTTTTTAAAAATGAAAGCTGTTTGGGGAATAGATGTAGAATGAGGTTTTTAAAATCACTTCACATCTCATGGAGTACCATCATCAATGTGTAAATTTGCTTTAGTGCGTTTGCGTTTAACTTTCTCAGTTTATCTTACTTGGGACATTTTTAGTGGTTTCCCATCTCGCTACTAATTAAACTATTGAATGCCTGTAGGTTGATTGCATCATGTTTCCTCAGAAGCATATAACACAAACTGACATTAACCTCAGATCATTGTAGCAATTCTTTTGAAACAAGAATTTTCAAGGTTCTCCCTTGGCCAAAGGATGGACATAGATACTATTGGCAAGATGAAATAGATTCTAATGTGTTCCAGTGGATGAATTTTTTAATATCTTTTTTTAAGTACAAATTCCATTTTCATAAGTTCTTGGCCCAAAAGATGTAAATGATTTTGGCCTGACCAGTTTGGAGCACTATAGATAGTTTTTTTTGACCAATGACCAAAACTATTATAAAGTAAGAATAAATATAAGAAATACTAATGATGAAAGGATAGAAGTTATATATACAGTATATATACCAAGTAGCAATATAAATTAATAGATTAACAATTCTGCCATAAACTGACATTCAACAACTGCTTCTGAATAAAATTTAGCATCTTTTTTTCTGATTATGTCAGAAGAGAGGCTTACTAATAGAAAGCATTCATTTCTTCTTCCAGGAGATAAATAGCAGGGATGTTATCAAAACAAGGTACCGAAATTATTATATGGGACAAGACAACACAATAAATTGATTCAATAGACTAGAGGCAGACTTTAGGGAGATAATGTTTTGCTTTAAAGAACTATAGATTAATTAATTCTGGTCAGAAAAAAACTCTTCTGTGTTAGGAAGGTTTACGAATGTTAACTAGTTGGCTAAGATAAACGCATAAATTATCTTTATAGTAATGGTTGGCTAGTCTATGACTATTCTTTAAAACAGTCAGATATGTGGCTGCTTTATCTACGATGGTGTTTTCTTATACCTTCACTGAAATAAGTGAACTGAGCTGAAAATCCACAATAATTTAAATGTGGGGTATCATGATACTAGATTGAGTTATCTTGACAAAATGGTACTCCCAAATGACTAGGGAAGCCTGTCTCAGAATTAAAATAATAACTGGTCAAAAGGACTATAATAACTGGTCAAAATAAAACAACCTCAAATTTGCCTGCTGCCCTATCTAGGATAGCTTTTTAAGAAGCCACTGAAAAAGCTAAAAATCCATTCTTTTGGGGATATAGAAGTATTTGCCACTTTTTCATAATTTATGAACTATAGCAAATGTTTGGCACTGAAGGTTATCAAGAGCAGAAATAGATCCTGCTGAAAAAAGCAACCTGGGTGAATAAGTAACTAGCTAGTAAGTTAACACTAATTGAATCTTGACAGAATTTTATGAAATATTGTACAACATATTAAGACAAGAGATCTTTCTATACTGACCTCCCCCCAAACACTTTTTTTTTTTGCATGGGGATTCCTTTTCCTTTGTTTGGAGAAATATAGGTATTTTATACATAATTCATATGGGGCTACACATTTTTGTAATGTATTTAAATCTTGTTGTTCAGTTCCTCTTCATGAGGTTATATTTCTTAGTGTTTGATAATTCTTTCTGACACAATATGAGTGTTGTGTGTCATCAGGGTTTAAGTTTCTTCTGATATGTAAAAAGATGCAATTACTAGAATGATTTTTAGCAATGATTTTGAAAGGTGGTGTGCCCTAATACATATTAATTTCAATTTCTCTTACGATGCAGAAATTATGACATTTACACAATTTGGCAGATGGGCATTCATGGGATTCGTACTTCTGAATTCCCCTTATTCTTCAGATCTATATTAACTATTTTCTGTTGATTAAAATTACTGCCTGTAGCATACATCAGAAAACCGTTTAATTAAAAGCAAATACTTTAGACAATATAGTTTTTCAAGATGTGACTGGAAATTAAAGTAGTCAGCAGATTCTATTAATACATGAAAGTGGGAAGTTATATCCTTGCATAGTAATTGAACGGTCTGAGTATCTTCTGACTCAGGATCCAAATCCAGTCCTTTTTCCAGGCATTTAGTTCCAGAAACATTGCTAGGCAATTAGCAATATAGGAAAAGATTACAGATTTAGAAAGCTACAAGGTGTGGTTTAAGTTTGACAAAATGGTCATAATTCTATTCAGGAAAATGTAAGAATGGAAGGCAGTTAAGTATAAGAACGTGGAATATCCTGTTTCAGTCAAAAAGAGAACATAGGGGATGTTACGACTCTCCCAGGTGAATTTTTCTAGAAAGATGTGAATTACAAGTAGTCCTCCAATTACAACTGTGTGTGATAAGTACCTTTTGTGAGGTCCGTCTTAACTTTGAATACTTGCTAAGCAAACACTCTAAGTCGAGGACTCCTTGTAGTTGGCTTGTTATTTGGTACAGCCAACAGATGGTAACAGTGGTATATATTTTGTGTTTGTGTGACTGCTGAGGCAAATGTTTAAATACAGCTCCTAACCAAGATGAGCATAACTTGGGGAAGTTTACTCAAGGCTGTATTGTTGGTGGGTGCGTGTGGTTGTGTGGGTGTACATATGTGAGAAAACTGTTATTTTTAATTGTTTACACTGATACTTTGAATCTTTCACTTTGCAGATTTCTGACCTTTATAATAGCCTTAAATATAAAGAGAGAAAAATCTTGCAACTATCAGATATGATTAAAAATTGTGAGAGAGAATTCAGACAATTATCACAGTTATTTTGCAAAAACAGCAATCTGCTGGCAAGCACTCAGGTAAAATAATTCTCCTTTCCTAGCACCTTCCTTACCTCAGTGGAAAATTAGTGAGAATCCATTTGTGAGGAGATTTTAGCTTTGCTATAGTTGATGCATTAGTTTTTTGAAATTTATTTTGTTTTTATTATATATTTACATTCTGAAACATAATTTTTAATGTTAGTAATGCTTTATTAATGTACTATATTTTACCAATTTGTGTTTTTATCATACTCAAATATCCTAGTCATCTCTTATTAACTGAGATGGAATTTTATATGTCTGAATGTTATGTCATAAATAAAAATTAGTAATTATGCATCTCATTCCCCTATAGAATGTCACAATTTCAAAAATAGTAGATGAACTGCCTGCATTCCACAGGAACTGCTATAGAAAAAATGAGAAAGGAAAACCTGGAGGCTCAATTTTCTTAAGCCTCCAAAAGTTGTATGAAAGAAGTCTTGTTACTATGTTACAGTGCTATTGTAGAGGATACAACAGTTAGAGCAGTTAGAATTTAAGACTTCTACCTATTCAACTCATATATGATATTACATTCATAGATCACCACGCTATCTGTAAGAGTTCAGATATGGAACACTACACTTTCACCATCTTGAATTTTATTATGCAGAATACTAATACAAATAAAATTTCTACTACATTCTCTCTTCTGAGGTGTAGAGAATTTTTATTTTCAAGTAGTTAACATTTTGAACAAAGCTCGTGGAAAATGTTGACTATATTTTTCTGCTGAAAAAAAATATTTGGAAAGATTCCAAAAAGAAGAAATTTTGTTCCTAATATATTCATTGAAGGTTTAATAAAATATTAAATAATGGCAGTTGCTGTATTTTCATTTTATTTTAAAATTATGTTCCTCCTCTTACCCTCCCATCAACAATACAACTGAAGACTTTGGCCATTCACATTGATAAAAATACCTTCCTGGAAACACAGTTAAGACAGCTGGTACAAAAGACAAATCAGCAGCAAAGCAAACTGGACCTGAGAACATTACTGGACACCATTGATAACCTAAAGCAGAAAGTTGCTCTTCTTGAATCATATGATCAACGTCTAGGTATTATTGGATTTTCTCATAGATCTCGTTGGCAACCCCACATAGATGTCAGTAAAGCGGATTATGCAGATAACAGCTCTCAAACTTTTGCTTTTGTCAGGGACAATTCCCAGTTCTTCAAGTATTCCTTCAGTTTTTGTTATCTGATTGTGTCATATTGATCTGTCTGTAGATGAGGGATCCACTTTAGTATATCTTAAATCAAAGCTCAAAAAAGCCAAAATGGGATGTGCCATCTTCTTTATGAGTATATCAGTTATATCAGTTAACTATATATTAATTCACTTAAACACCCGTTTGGGATCAGTCCAACTCAACCAAGAGTGTTGTTATGGGAAAAATTGCTAGATATTCCCTTTGAGCTCCTGTAGAGATTGGGGATAGACAGCTAATAAAAGAAGACACCCTATCCTATCCCCACTCAATTTACATGTAGGATATTGGGGGCGAGGGGGAGGAGAAAGAATAGCAGGAACAAATGACTCTTGTGACTAAGAGCAGCACTTCTTTTCTTGGTGTCCTTTGTAACAGGGTAGTAATGACGTCGTTTTTCAGTTCCTGCACTAAAGACCCCCTAATGTCTTCCCCCTTGATCATTCCTCCTTGTTTTCCTCTGTGTGGTGGAAACACTAATTGTGACCACTCTGAGTTGTCATGGCTAGTTGGTGGCCTACTAATCATCTGCTTTCAACATGTTTCTTCTGGGGTGAAAATACTGCTTGGTTCGTTTGTTATTTGTGTGCTATTTGAACCCAACCACTGCAGATTCAACCCACACCTTGCCATTTTGCCAGTCATGTTTTATTTAAACATTTTATATGACCACTCTTATCTTGCTTCTGTGACTCCACATATAGCTTATTCAGTAAATAAAATTATTCAGTAAATAAATAACAAAAACTTTGGCTCAGTAAAATCTGATAACGTTGCATTTGAGTTTACCTTTACTGATTTCTTTTTCACTAAATATGGGTTTGTACTCTACAACTTAAGCATTTTTTCATGGGGACCAATTTTAAGTTGCAAAGCAGTCATATCAATATGTAATTAAAAATTACAAGCTAACTTACTACCCATTTTAAGTACAAAATTGGTTTCAATCAATAAATAGATTGGGTTTCAAAAAATATTCTTTATACAGAAAATTGTGTGATGAATTCTAAATAACCAATATAAACAATGAGATATTAATTTGGAACATTTATATTAAAGCAATACAAATGCTGATTTCTAAGTCTGTATGTCATTCTCACCTCACCCATGCCCCCATCCCCCCAAAAGCCACAAAAAGCAAATCCTGAAATGTACCTCTTTTACTCTTCTAGTTGTTTTAGAAGACTTGGCTACCCAACAAGATACTGTCTTCAGAATGCATGGGACACAACTTAACAAAAATGAAGAACGGTTCAAGATTTTGGAAGGAGCAAGTTACAATGGAAAATTGATCTGGAAAATTATGGACTATAAAATTAAGAAGAAGCAAGCTATAGAAGGGCACATCCTCTCCTTATGTAGTCAACCTTTTTATACCAGCCACTGTGGATATAGATTATCTGCCAGAACATATTTAAATGGAGATGGCTCAGGACGGGGAACTCATGTTTCATTGTATTTTGTAGTGATGAGAGGAGAATTTGATTCATTATTATCATGGCCTTTCAAGCAAAAGGTTACACTTATGCTTTTGGACCAAAGTGGAAGGAAAAAACATATATGTGAAACTTTCAAAGCTGATCCTAACAACAGCAGCTTCAAAAGGCCAGAAGGAGAAATGAATGTGGCTTCTGGGTGTCCTCGGTTTGTTGCACACTCTGTGTTGGAAAATGCAAAAAATACCTACATCAAAGATGATACACTCTTTCTGAAAGTAATGGTAGATTTGACTGATCTTGAGGCATTATGAGAATACCCATTATAAAACATTAGACTGAACACTTATGTGCTCTGGATTCTTTCAAATCTATGAAAGCTGCTCTGTGGTCTACCAAGCTGTTTTTTGTACCGTTTTAAGACTTCTCTGTTTTTTGTACTTTTAAAATGTTTTAATAAAACATGTTAATAGTTCAGTGAATTATGAACATCCAGCAAAATCTGATATTGTGATTATTATGCTCTATTACTTTTTCAGTTTAATACCTTAGAAAGCTTTAATGTCAGTGATGACTTTTAGGACCACATAGATAGATCTTCTCCAGGGAAATGAGTTCAATACCTCCAGCCCATTGCATTCGGGTTGACCATTAGATATTAACAAAATAATTGTTTTGAAATAAACCAAATATTAAACATCTCTGCTATTTACTCTATATTCTCTGTTCTCTGCATCATTTGAAGCCAAACTCAATTAACAACTATGAAGAATGGAAAAAATTAATACATTTTCTGGTGCCTTCAGATTTCATTACTTCCAATCTGATCCTTCAAGTCAGATCCTTCATAATAGTCATATTTTCCATAGCATAATGCAAAAGTACAGATTTAATGCATACATCATTCCAATGTTTAAGCGGAACCCATTTGAAACTACTGTCCTAATTTAGATCATTTTTTGCCTGCAAGAATAATCCATTTTCAGTAACATACCCATTAATTTTTAGTGCTTTCAAGATACAGATCCGCACGATTTTCTCTAGAGTCCATTTATTGCAAATCGGAGATTGCATCCCATGCGTAGTCACGAATTTGAAGATTATTTACAGTAACCTTGTGCTAAAACATGGAACCAAGTTTTTATGCCAAACCCTGCTAGAGATGGCAATGCAGTGCTTCTCTACACCCGGCCTGTAATCCCATTGCCCCTGATTTATTGCTAGCTTAACTGGTTTAGCCAGTTTAGCTGAATTCATAAGACACCGAACCCTACTAATCATAAGCGAGCCTTAAAGATGGGTGGGGAGAGTAACAATAGTTTGTGGTTCGCCACCTCCTGCAAGCCCAGGCCAAGCTGCTTAGGATGAACGCAAAGGCCTCGCACCCCCACCCCCCACCCCCGTGCTCCCTTCTCTGCTTACGCGCTTCGTTCGAAAGTGCCAAGAGGCGGCGGGACGCGTAGCCACACGGTATTCGCTTACAATCATTTCCGGGATGTGGGCGCCGGCCTGGCCTCGGCAGGCGGCAGAGCTCAACATTGTGGTTCCGGGTTCCTGGAGATCACGGGGCCGCGGCGGCTGTTTCCCGTAAATCGCCGCCGCCGCCGCCGCCGCGTTCGCTTCCGCTGTGTGCCAGAAACCCCTCCTGAGAGTAGCCGGAGGTGAAGTTGTAGGTGGGCTTCTCTGGACTGCTGGACCAAGTTCGTGCGAGACTCGGTGTTATTGCTTAGTTCTGGGGACGCGTAATGCATCATTCGCAATCCTAATCCCTAAATATTACGAGCACCGTCTTCCTGATTGAAAGGGCGACAGGAGTGCAAATAAATCCGAGTGCAAATAAACCCGAGAGACTGGTTGCGAGGAAAAAAGTCTGGGCAGGGAGAGAGATCGCACAAACGTCTCCTGTAACCCGGAGCCTTTAGAGACGGCCAGCGTGAAATGAATTCGCCGCGTTTGCCACGACCACGCTAATATTTGCATGTAGCTTGTTATCGAAGACAGAGATTTCATCGACTTTTCTATGCACCTGCATTGGGGATAATTTTTTTCCTTTAAAAGAAAAAAGAGGAAAAATAGCGGAGATTCATAATACCTAAAAGATTTATTACGCTATAAACGGTTATGATTTGCTATTTTAAAAAAAATATTTGGTGCTTACCTTGCTTGGTTTGCTGTATCATTTTCTGCCTTCATAGGACACAGTGAAACATAATGAAATATACAGACTGGGTTTCTACAATATTCAACTAAAATTGGTTAATTTATTGCTTAGTGAATTTTCTGATTTCAATCAGAAATCTGACAAAATCGTATTTTTTGTATACTGTATAATGGGTCTTTTATTTAATATTTAACTGAACATTTCTATAGATGATTCTTCATAAAATGTAATGCAAAATGTTCATAAAGTAGCATATGTATTAATTGATTAATTGATTCATCAAATAAGACTAAATGCAATACTTTAGGAATGTGGCAACTCTGGTGCCTTTATGTCTATGGAGCCTTTATGTCTTAGCCTTTAATGAAAAAACTATTCCTTAAGGACTAGGGTTCTTGATACTTCTGTTTTGATTTGCTATGATTGATTGATACGGCTATTGGAGGTACTTGGCATTGCCATTCAAAATAAGTTCCCACAGCACAATTTATTAATGTGGTTGATTAATTTATGGTTTGATGTCATATAATTTCAACCACTTTTGTGAACTTAACAAATTATGGTAGTAACAAAACCATTGTGAGATAAAAAGTAAGTATAGACAACCAATGTACATCTGGTAAAAGTTATAGAGTTGAGCTAGAAGTATTTGGCTTATGTATGGAATAACTTCCAAAAATTGGGGCAAAGTGTAGTATATTAAGGGGCATTTAATTTGTGCTACTGTGAATTTTTATAAACTCTTATTAAAGATTCATGCCAAATCACTTTATGCAATACAAAGCCACTTCTCAGAAGCCTTCTCTTTAAATTGCATATTTTATTATGATAGCAGATTTATCCTATAAAGAAGCCTATGCAGTTGATTATAACTTTGAAGAATTAGATTACATGTGCATATGTGTCACTGGGTTATTGCATTAACCCAGTTTGAGTTCTCATGACACACTAAATTGTAAGTTAACCAAATTGTGTATGTATAGCCTAAAATGTAATTGGTTAGCTTGTGATTTATTGTATTATGAAAAGATAGTCATAAATTTAAAGCAACTGTGGAGTCAGGACTACAAGCAAGTGCACTGATGGGCTGTTAGAATAATTAGTGTTGTTACACAAGAATTACAAAACAGTTATGCTGGAACTGGCCTTTAAAGAGTCTCTACAGATTATAATTCAGTAACAGAGTGTATTGGTATTAGAAATAGGCAGTGGAAGTTAACAGGTCATTTTCATTTCTTTAGGAAAAACAATGTTTGCAACTGTGTGATTATATGATTTATATAATATCTCACAGATATGGATGACCACCATGAAGCAAAAGATGAGATGCGGTGTGCAACATCACAAGAGAAAACAAAAGTCAGAGGTAAGAATGATTGTTGTCCCTGTAAGAGTAGTGTCAATAAATATATTAGAATTTTGATTCTGGTACAAGGTAAACACTACAGATGGAACTTTTAGTAATAAAAAAAAAACCTACCAAAGTTCATAATGTAGAACCAAAGTTGATAGTGTGGAACCAATTTTCCATTTTCAAACCTCTGACATTCAAAAATAAGCTCAATTTATTTTAAATGTAATTGTGATTGCAAGATAAAGTAATGTTGATGTCTGCCAGACAATTATTGTCTGGAAGTATTTGTCTTGCTGAAGCTAACTTAGTCTAGTTCAGATAAGGTAGTAATACTGCTTTTAATATTGGCCTTACTGTTTTCCTTTGATTTGTTTTAATGTTTTAATGCACCGTGTGTTGTCTATAATTGATGAGTGATTAAAGTGTAATACTTTTTTAAAAATAGGATCTAGATATATTGTATATCAATCACTATTCTGTGCTTGTATTCTAGATGGAAAAAAGGCAGAATGTACTAAATATATCCATTTGTTTATTTTTATTTAACTATTACTTAATGTATATTTCAGTCATTCCGTACTAAAGATAGCTGATAAGCATTTAAAGGAGTATCTAGCACTAATGTTACTCAACATGTGAAAAGGGAAACCCTCATCCATCTTCCTGTCCTTTCTGTTTCCTTAGAGGAAAGTAAAAGGAAACGGAAGCGAAGCAGAAGCAGATCCTCCTCCATCTCTTCCTCTACATCTTCTAGTTCTTCTACATCCTCCTCTTCAAGGTCTTCTTCCAGGTCTTCTGCCTCGCAAAGCAGAAGCAGTTCAAGTGGCAGAGGTAGGATTATTTTGTGAGTTATGAAATTCTTTAGATGCTACCTTTAGATGTTATATAGCCAATAACAATTATTGATCTAGCAGGAGTAAAGACAGGTGGTCCTCCATAAACGTCCATTCATTTAGCCCCTGTTAGAAGTTACTATGGTACTGAAAACATAAATTTATGACTGTTCTTCAAAGTCCTGGCTATTGCAGTGATCCCACAGCCATATGAACAACATTTAGGCCCACTTGCATTTATGGTCACCTGTCCTGCTGTTGCCACACATACACACATCCTTAACTGGCTGCCATCTTTGCCACTCCTCTGCTGAGTTCACCACCTTGGCTACGCACAGAGTAGACACTGTGAAAATACCCTACAGTGGTAGCTGAGAGCTACACTCGGGTGTATTTCATACACCACTAACAGCTGGGATCTTCATGCTAGTACAAAAGAAGGTGAGCATGAAAGAAGGTTCTGGCCAGCAAAAGAAAAAAGGACTAGCAAGCATGTGAAAGAAGGCAGCAGAAAAGAAAAGATCCAGCTGGTAGTGCTTCAACGATGTGGAAATCACAACAGCAGGCAAGACAGCAGCGTGAAGCCAGGCAGCCAAAAGGGAAGAGCTCAGAGGAAGATGGCTGGGTGAGTGGAGTTGTAGCAGTTCTTTACATTCTTCCAAGGATGGCGATGACTGTATGGGATTCAGATAATAACAGATAATCAGAGTTGGAAGGGACCTTGTAGGTCATCTAGTCCAACACCCTGCCCGAGCAGGAGACCCTACACCATTTCTGACAAATGGCAATCCAATCTCTTCTTGAAAGTTTCAAGTGATGGCGCTCCCACAACTTCCGAGGGCAAGCTGTTCCATTGGTTGATTGTTCTCACTGTCAGAAAGTTTCTCCTTATTTCCAGGTTAAATCCCTCCTTCTTCAGTTTCCATCCATTATTCCTTGTCTGGCCTACAGGCGCTTTAGAAAATAGCTTGACCCCTTCCTCCCTGTGGCAACCTCTCAAATATTGGAAGACCGCTATCATGTCTCCCCTGGTCCTTCTCTTTACTAGACTAGCCAAGCCCAGTTCCTGCAACTGTTCGTTCTATGTTTTAGCCTCCAGTCCCCTAATCATCCTGGTTGCTCTTCTCTGTACTTTTTCTAGAGTCTCAACATCTTTTTTATAATGTGGTGAACAAAACTGGATGCAGTATTCTAGGTGTGGTCTTACTAAGGCTTTATAGAGTTGTATTAGTACTTCCCTTGATCATGACTTATCCCTCTGTTAATACCATTTAGGATTGCATTAGCTTTTTTGGCTGCTGCTCTACACTGCTGGCTGCAAGATCCCTCTCACAGTTACTGCAATTGAGCCTGGTTTCACCCAGTTTATATGTGTACTTTTGGTTTTTCTTGCCTAAGTGTAGGACTTTACTTTTCTCTACATTGAATTTCATTTTGTTAGATATGGCCCAGTGTTCTAGCTTGTCAAGTTCCATCTGGATCTTGAGCCTATCTTCTTGGGTGTTAGCTATTCCTGCCAGCTTAGTATCATCTGCAAATTTGGTAAGTTCCCCTTCTAGTCCCTCATCTAAGTCATCAATGAAGATATTGAAGAGTACTGGGCCTAAGACGGAACCTTGTGGTACCCCACTGCTTACTTCCCTCCATGTAGACTTAGACCCATTAAGGACTACTCGTTGAGTACGGTTTGCCAGCCAGTTGCAAGTCCATCTAGTGGTGGTGCTATCTGTTCCACTTTTTTCTAGCTTACTAAGAAGTAGGTTGTGGTCTACTTTGTCGAATGCCTTGCTTAAATCTAAATATATTATGTCCACAGTATTTTGCTGGTCTACTAATTTAGTCACTGTGTTGAAGAATGAAATAAGATTCATTTGGCATGATCTGTTTTTAACAAACCTGTGCTGACTGCTAGTTATTGCTTTACTTGTTTCTAGATGTTGGCAGATTCACTCAATGACGCAACTGGGATTGCCAGAATTGCTGTTGCTTAGCCATGTAGTTGTATGATATTTTGCTTAATTACCATTCACTTACTCCTGGGGTTGCCCGTTCCGTGATGGGTTTCACCCTTTTTTACTACCAGTTCTATGAGAGAGCGCTTCGTGTGCTTGCGCAGTATCCATAAACCACTGATTTTAAGCTTCAAAATTGGCCTTGTGTTCAGTGCTGATGAGTAAAACAGCTGAGGCATGGCAATCCGCTCTGCCGTGCAAATCAGCTGAGCTCACAAACAAGGAAATAAAGCACAGGAAATGGGGGCATGTGGATGGGACCAACTGCTCACCGGCACTACTGGTTCATTAGAACCAGTGTGAACTGGCAGCATCCCACCACTGTGCCTGCCCAATTAAGATGGCTAAATGAGTCTTACCTGTAATGGGTTTTTCACAAATATATTCAGAAGTAGACATTAAATATGAAATATTTGTTACAATGAAATAATGCTAATATATTGAAATGTACTGGTACGTACTGTACAGAAAATCAAAGTAATATGGTGGGTTCATGTAATTCATCTGGCATTGCTGCTAATAGTGACCATTTCAAATGGATTTTAGGGGGAAATATCACCTAACACAGGAATCCCCAACCTGGGGTCCGCAGCCCACTACTAATCACCACAGGGACGCATGAGGACGTGGCCCCACTAGCGCGAGCATCGTCGTAGGTGCTCATAGCCCTCGCACAAGTCTCGTCACAGGTACTCATGACCCCACTTGCGTGAGCATTGCCATGAACGTTATGGGCGCTCATGTGCACATGCACTTGCCCCTCCCATAAGATCATCAACCCAGCAAGGTTGGGGAACTCCAACCTAACCCTCAGTGACATAAGCAGCATTTTCCAAGATTATATCCTTGGGGAGCAATAATCCAATCCATTACCCTAAGATAATAATTACTTCTAATTGATGAAACAGTTTCAGCAAATCATTATGGGAGTGAATTTCATAGTAATGTGTCATTCTTTAGCTAGTTGGAATGACAAAGTTAGGGAATACCTGTATATGCAGCCCACTCCTTCACATATCACAGAATATACCAAAATTATTGTGTAGGTTTTTTTAAAATTTACATCATGCCTCCCCTTCAGGAGCTTGGGGCAATGTGCATAATATTTCCTTCAGTAATTCTTTTCCATAAGAAGAAATCTATGAGGTAGGGTAAACTTAAAAATAATGGCTAGTTAAATTTCTATAGCTGAGTAAGGATTTAAATCTGGATCTCCCCACTCCTGGCCCAACATATTAATCATTATGTTTTTATACATACATACATACATACATACATACATATATATTTGTTTTTGTAGATTTTCACCGGTACAGGTATGTAGGTCAGGGTGTGTTCGGGTCTTTTCCCGTGTAAGATTAAGAGTATCTTGGCAATGTATCAGCGAGGTCCCACTTACCATCAGGCTGGTGCTTGCCGAAACATACATACATACATACATACATACATACATACATACATACATACATATATATACATACATACAGAGAGAGGGAGAGGGAGAGGGAGGGAGGGAGGGAGGGGGAGAGAGAGAGAGAGAGAGAGAGAGATCTTTGGTTATTTGGGTTTTCTCCCGCATAAGATTGGAAGTATCTAAGCAACGTTTCGATGAAGTCTCATCATCTTCAGGCTTGTGTCTTCGGCTCTGAGAAGCACAGAAACATTCATCAAAACATTGCCTAGATACTTCCAATCTTACGCGGGAGAAAACCCGAATAACCAAAGATCCACATACTAATATCTGCGAGAACCTCAGAAAGTGTGTGTGTGTGTGTGTGTGTGTGTGTGTGTTAAGTTTTCGCGGGTACTTACATGCATGGCATTCAGCTTTGTTCGGGTATTTTCCCACGTCTTTGTAGTTGTGCTTTTAAAGTTGTAGCAACGTTTCAGCAGAATCTCATCTGCCATCATCAGGCTTCTGTATAGTGTTCACCAGATGAACACTATACAGAAGCCTGATGATAATGCCATATATATATATATATATATATGTTTTACACACACACACACACACACACACACAGAAGTTTTCATTTTCTTTCCTTATTTTCTGGAAAGGAAACATACACATAAACATACAGATGTAGCAAACCTCAAATAAAAAAATCAATATAAATAGGGGACCAAATTATGTTAATCACTGATCCTACATTACCCAGATTTGTTCTAAACAAATCATAATTTTATAAATTATCAAAGATAAAAAGAAAATAAAAAGTACATGGCAAGCACCTATGTATTAATATCCATATTTCCTGAAAAATTTGTATCTCAATTTTAGTGACAAAAATCTATTTAATGTTGTTCAAAGCCTTAATATGCATTTGTTACATTTTTAATGCTTAGATTCTTCAAAAGTAAAAGCTAAGAAGAGGAAAAAGGAAAAACACAACAAAAAGGTAAAACTAAAATTACTAAAAATATTAAGTAAAAATACAGCAGTGAACTATGATTCACATTATAAAGGAAAAGCTGTTACATCCCTATTAATTATATCAAAATTATCATTTCTACTTTTGCACTCAAGTATTAATCATGCTGCTTTAAAGCAACTCCCCCTTAACAGATATTGACAATATGAATGGGGCAGGCTTACCCGCCACCTCCACCCACCCCCACCCCCAAAAAGGCTGTGATCATCAGTTTGGTCTTGAGCCCTGGTGGAACAGTGGTTAAAATTCATTGCAGGCTAATATGCCTACTGCCAGGAGTTCAATCCTGACTGGCTCAAGATTGACTCAGCCTTTCATCCTTCCAAGGTCAGTAAAATGAGGGCCCAGATTGTTGGGGACAATATGCTGTCTATGAAAGCTGCTTACAATATACTGTAAAAACACTACAAAGCGGTACATAAGTCTAAGTGCTATTGCTACAGTTATTGGTCTTATGATGGTTATTTGCTTTTCAGTTGACCCAGTGATGTATTTGCATAACCAAATTGATGGGAACAGTATCTCAATATTCAGTCGGTATCTCAATTATGTTGACTGAAGGTATTCACGTATATGAGTTGTGTGCCTTTTGTGATAAGCATCTAGCATTGACAGTAATTGGCAATGCCTCTAGAAGAGTTTTTTGATACAATGTATCATGAGAGACAAAGGAAGTTTCATATGTTATGAATATTATTTTAAAAGTTACCTTTAATTCCTAGGTCACAGTTTAAAAAGTTTGTCTGGGAAGATGTTGAGCACCAAACTCATCATATTATTTCTTACAGACTGTGAGATTTAAAAACTTCATTCCCGCAGTTAATTTATATTATTTAAATTTATATTATTTTTGTTCAGGTAGCATGCATATTGTTGTCTTCTATTTTTTTTTTCCATAACAATCCTGTGAAACAGGTTGGGCTGACTGGTTCAAAGCCACTTACCCTTTGTTCTTTCTCATTTTGGAACAAATCACAATGCCAGAAGGAGCCTGGGAAGAATATCAAGGGACTACAAGAAACTAGGCAGGAAAGCAAAACAATTTGGAGTAAAGATGATGTTTCCATCGATAAATTCAACTAAAGCTTTTAGCTTAAAGAAGGAATGAAAGATTCTAGAGGTGAACTGCTGGCCTTGAAGAACATTGTCATCATGAAAACCTGCACCATCTACAGGCAGGTTTGTCCTTTGCAAAGACTGGGAAGAATGAAAGAGAGCTTTAATTTAAACTTGGAGGAGGCAGGTCTAAGGGAAGACATGATACTTGAAGACTGTCACAGGAAGGAGAATGTGAATTTATTCTTAGTGCCCGAAGGTAGGTCAAGAATCAGTGAGTGGAAGTTTTACTACTTTGGAATAAATTTTTTGGAGATTCAAACTGGAAATAAGGAGGAATTTCCTGATCACCTGACTCCTGGAATCCAGGAGTGCTCTATCCTTTGAGGTTTTCAAAGAAAAGCTATTTACCTGGAATAGTCTGAGAATTCCTGGCCTCGGCTATAGGTTGAACAAGAAGACTTCCAAGGTAACTTCCAAATATTTGATAAATCACCAGTTGTGCCCTTGATTGAGGGTCAATTTGAATCTCCCTGGGACCAGTTCTTCACCTTAACCACTATACCCTATGGTGTCATGATAGGATGAGAAAATTGATCTATTAATTCATACAATAACTCTAGAACTTATGTGAATATGTTTGAGTTTTTCATGGTCCCTTTCTAATATAAACTTTATATTAACAATATTATTCTCACAGCCAAGTTGCCTTTTTTCTTTAATTGAGGAAAACATCTAAATTGCTATACGCTGGTAATAGGCACTTAGATTTGGGGCCAGGGTAATTGTCAGGTTTCTCCCCACCAAGTCCTGATGCACTGCTTCATCATGGCAGAGGTGTTCCTGAAGGGTTGAGTCACAAACATTGAGAGTGTCTGTCAGGAATACAGTAGGGTCACTCAAGGCCTGAAAGGCTGCCCAAGTAAAGAAGCAAGCACCTATAATGAGGAACAGCAATGTAAAAACAAATGCTAGAGGCAGATTATCACTTTCATGACAATAGAAAAGAAATCAACTCATACAGCATAGGAGAAGGCTGTGAAGGCTCCTGTATTTTTCCAAGAAAACCAAATGGATAAGCAATGATAATCTCTATGGAAGCAAAAGTTGGACTTTGAAGAAGCAGAATTGGAAGAGTATTAGTGCTAGTGTTTGAGAAGATTACTGAGAATATTATGGACAACCAAGAAAGCAAACAGATTATTGAACAAATGAACCCAGGGTTCTCACTCAAGGCACAAACGAACAGGCTCAGATTATCCTATGTCAGAGACAGTATGTAGAGACCCATTCTCTGGAGAAGACTCTGATGCTTGGAAAAGTCGAAAGAAAGAGAAGAGTGCCACCAGCAGCAAGGTGGATGGAGTCAGTTGAGTGACAAGGAATGCAGTGTTTGAAGAGTTGAAGGGCCAGGTTAGGGTCAGATTGTCAAGGGAAAAAATAAATACTATATGTGGTTGTGAAGAGTAAAAAATGATAATCAAATTTTCAGGTATCTGTTTATTTTTTATTAGAAAAGGAAAAAAGAGAAGGTGAAAAGAAAGAAAGAAAAGAAGAGAAAGAAAGAGAAATCAAGTCCTGTACAGCTTTCTAAAGTAAGTGCAAAAACTGAATGCAATCCTCTTCTCAGAATTAGACCATTTGTGAAAAGTGAATGGAATGATTTTGATTTCTGTAATTTTCAGATTGTATCTTAATATTATGTTATTTCATGGATATCTTTTCTTCTTTGTTTCCTTATATTTTCTTTTCTGGCATATTTCTTCAAGTAATCAAGGATGGCATATTTGAATCTCCGATCCATCCCCTAGAGAAAAGGAGAGGGAGAGGGAGGGAGAGAGAAATGATAGATAGATAGATAGATAGATAGATAGATAGATATCCCATGCTTATTGCTTAATATGCTTTACTTTCCATTTCTCAAATTTATTTGAAATTTGCCTAAGGTCAAGCAACTAAACAAAAATAGCAGGAGGAGCCTGTTCCTATGAGGGGGAAAAATCTTCCCTCTTTTTTAAGTTGTTTCCGTGGGAACAGTATTCTTTTGTTTGGGAAACATAGGGTAGCTTTGGTTTCTTGTTCTTTTAATCAAGTTTTATTCAGCACAAATTCACACTTCCTTGGATTGTTGTGACACCAAAACAGGAAATATAATTTATAAGTCCTTACTGATGTAATATAAAATGTACGTTTTATTTATAGACCACAATTTTGTATTGTTTTAGTATCTCAAAGATAAAAAGAAGAATCATAACTACAGTATGATCACAGGAAAGAAAATTAAGATGAAAATAAAGAAGAGTAAAAAGGATAAAGAGGTACTGTTTCACATCAATATGTTTAATATTTTTTTTAAATTAAATTTTTAAATGTTTGAAAATGGTGTTACCTGTATTTATAATGCATTAGCATTTAGGGTGCTCAATCATTTAGTAATTATCCTAAAATATAGATAATTTCTTATATGTGTTTCTTATATGTTCCATCTAATATATTCGAACTTCAGCACATTTAAATTTGGAAAATAATGACCTCTGAAAAATAAAGATCAGTCCTATGTAATTGGGCTACTTCAAAAATAGGCAAGAATCTTGCCTTTTAAATCTTGATAAGATCAAATATGTGTGTGTGTGGGGGGGGGGATTCAGCTTTGTTCAGGTATTTTCCCACGTCATTATAGTTGTGCTTTTAAAATTGTAGCAACAACTTTATCTCATCTGCCATCATCAGGCTTCTGTATTGTGTTCGTCTGTGAGTCAGACTTTCACAGCCATTTCTGTTTTAAATTTGGTGCTAGCCTGCGCTTTGCCAGAATGTTTTTTTCTTCATCCTAATTGGTTAGGAGTCTTGGTCTGTGTTTATTGGTCTTGGAGTTTGCTGTGTTCTGCTTGATTGGTGTTTCTAATATCTTCTGTCTGTTTTGTGGCTTTTTTTTTTTGTCTTGATTGGCTGGCAACATTGCCTAGATACTTCCAATCTTACGCGGGAGAAAACCCGAATAACCAAAGATCGATCTATCTATCTGTCTATATATATATATACACACACACACACATACTTATAAATTAAAATGACTCTTTCTAACCTTCAGACGCATACACAAATTTACAAAATGTTGATGGCACTGAAATTTGAAGGCTGAGTCAAAAAATATCAAAGGAAAGGCAGCAACATAAGTCCATTACTGAAATATCTGGTTATGAGCAGTGAGATACGGAATATGATTTGTAAATCTCCTGTTGGAACAAAATAGAGGAACACAATGGAAATGAGAAAACTAATCTCAAGGTTATATCATGGAATTGGTTAACTTTTGCTACATTAACCTTATGCCCTTTCTTAATTGCTTGGCTTGTGGACCATCATATCTTTATTACCTTAAATCATTAGAAATTGCAAGAAATATTTATTTAGAACATCTCTTACACGCTTAACTATGCAGTTCCCACAGTTGTTTCTCCCTCTCATATATAGCTATAAGTGCCGACTGCTGTCCTTGAGACTAGAAGAAAGGGGGGGGGGGCGCAAAGGAAAGGGTACTTTTAATTCTCTTGCTGCTGAAACTCCACTTTAAAAGATCTGAACAGTCCTACAGAAGTTCTGCCAAGCTTGTCCAGAGACCTCATTACAGAGCAGGAGTAGAGCTTCCACATTGTGTCTATAGAAGCTTCCCCCAGAGGAAGTCTTCCAGAGTAGCATTTCTTGCACATTACAGTACAGAAGGACAGAAATGGAGGTGTTTTTCCAAAAAAGGTATAGAATAACAATTCCCCTTCCCTTCCTATGGGGAGTGGGAAGGGGGAAGGGGCAGGGTGGTTCTTGTCCAAGACTCAAGGAGCACCATCTGTTGAAAACTTCCATATGGCCCACATGTCGAATGAGAGAAACTAGTCCTTGGCACACATTCAGTTTCCCTCTCCTTTGTTAGGAGATGAGATCAAATATACTAATTTTCCCAGTGTTTGTTTATTAAATCTATGCTGGTTGTATATCATTTCCAGTTTTTAATCTGAAACATTATATAAGTGCATACAATTTTAGGAGTACTAATTTGCCCTCGCTACCCTAGATGCCAAGTCATTGTATTTATTAAAGCTTCTTAGCTTAATTTATTCCTTACATGCAGCAGTTAAAAGTTATGAACCTATGGATAACTGGGCAGCAGAATAATTTGAAAATAGTTAATGGGGGTACAATTTATTGGGAATAGTTTTTGAAAATGATCTGCAAAATGGATTTCTGATCAGTAAAATTAGGTTTTTAATGACTGCTTCTTTTTTTTTTTTTCAGCGAGATCGGAACCGGGCAGAACTTCTTGATTTCTTGAACTCTACTTTTTAGTGAAAAAGCTGTTAAACAAGGACCAATAAGTCTGTCAGCTTATTCAGTCATCTTGCTCCTTAAAGCACCAAATACGAGCTCAGGGTGAAGCATGAAAGAACATCTTGATGCATGAGGAGTTGAAATTGTTCCACTATGATGATAATTGACAACTCCTTTAAGAAGGGCAAAATAATTGGTGACATTTTATCAATAAAGAGCCATATTGAAGTTGCAAAGAACCTAACCAAACTAGGACGAAGGCATAACCATTCATTAAAGTGAAAGGATGTGTTGGAATATCCAAATTGCATGCAGAATGCAACTTTATCATCTGTTGTCCTTGGTCATTTTTCTGATTAGCCAAATAATAGCAGAGAAGTTCTTAAAGAAGAATCAGACCCTTGTATATAAATATTTTTAGTATTGAGAATATTTGCAAACAGCAAAATACCTCTTTCTGAGTTGTGTATGTTCTCTAAAGCATTGAGTAACATTTTTTAAATCATTTTTCTTTTGTAAAGTGTTTTCTTTTTAAAGTTAGTAAAAAAAAACACTCTAATTTCAATTTATCTAATGAGGTGCTAGGCATTTCATTTAAAAATTCTGGCGTGGTACAACTATTAAATGAATATGATGAAATTAGTTTATTGCCCACTGCTGCTTGGTTTTTTTCTTATTTTGGGTATGATGACCATTGATCAGTATTGTGGCCTTTCCTTCAGAGAGGCATGTATCGAAGTCCACATTATGAAAATCTCAGTGGGATACCAATTTCAGTTGAGTGTAATGATATGACTAACAGAGTGCTCAAAAAACTGGTTGTAGTATGTAACCTCACAGTGTGTGAAGTTTCATTTTATCAGAAAAATCCAATAAAAAGCTTCTGAATTTGAGGTAAATTGTTTTAGTGAAATATTAACAAGCGTGAAGAAAGCCTAGGATTAGAATGATGCTGTTGAGAACTTTAGCTACCATATAGATTTTTCTTTCTCCAAAACACTTAATAAGGAAAATGTTTAATGACTTAACAGTTTGTCTTCATTTTTGCACTTTTTAAACATCACACCCTTAGATGGTTTGTTTACCACGAACACACCCAAAACAGTTACCATATCTTTATAATTTAAAACAATAATTTATTGAAATATTTGTAAATAATTAATTTATCAATAGTTAAAATATAGTTACTATTCACTCTTCAAACTGTCATTGAAAGAACTTTGTGGGGATTTTAAATATAATCAAGGTTGGGGACATCTAGATCTCAGGGTAGAAGAGAAAGAATTCTACAGAAGGAATAGTTACCACAACTTCCAAGTTCCTATCCCCTAATTCTTTTAAAGGGGATTTGCAGCATTTTTCTTGGATTGCTTGGATAGCAGAAGCAGATTCTATTTGGAGAGGGAGTTCATTACACAACTTAAGCCCCAGCTATGTATGGCTTTTTAGATCATTATCAACCTCTTTCATTTGAACCAGGAACCTATCAGCAGTGCTTGTAATATTGGTGTTGCATTATTGAAGCATCTCTCACCTGTTTACTTACTCCAAACAGTTTCTGGATAGTGTTCATAGACACGACTAAGAAGAGTGCATTGTAGAAATGCAGTCATAAAGTAAAAGGGTATGTGTATGTGTATGTGTGAGTAATTGGTAAAGACACACCTTTTATCTCTGTGCCACCCTAAATTGGGATAACCCCCTCAATGGTTTAATATAGATGATAAGATGAGGAGAGGGAGAGCAGAACTCTGAGCCACCCCATAAATCAATGGCCAAGAGCTAAATCGCTTTCTATTTCTATTGCAAAAAAGTGCTTCCAATTCTTCACCCTCGTGTATTCCAGCCTGACCCCTTGATTGCTGGTATCAGATGCTGCTGAGGGATATAATAGAATCAGAAGACAACACTCACCAGGTCCTAATAGAGGTCATTGGAAAAATCAATGTAGTTTTATCTCATAACTGGGTTTGAACTCTGCAAACAATCCAGAGAATGTAACTTTTTCAGAGCCCTTTGAAATTGCAGCCCCATCTTCTCCAAACCCTTCTTTAAAGTTGAAGGGGGTTGTTGATTGCCTTAAGTTTACTCCTTTGTGTGCCCTAAGGAGCCAACAAAGGGCATAGGTCAAGGCAAACACAGATGTAGAGAGCATAATATGCTGCTAATCACGCCACTTTCTTAAAGAGTCCACAACATCAGAATTCCAAGTAGGCTTGCAGGAAGTTGTCCAAATAATTTTATTTGATTCTGCTAAGATGGAGATAAGAGCTGAGCAAATGCAAATTAATTTATCTGTGAAATGTTTTACAAACTTAACACAGCAATATGTACATTAGGAACTCATCTTGCCCCAGTCAGGCGCAGATTGCATTGTAGAGTACCGCTAGATGTCAGTTTACTGATGCATTGAAGTTCCAGTGATGGTTGCCATGTGAGAGGGAAAATGGTATATACTCATTTGTGATTGCAATGTTTATAGTCCCCTACTTGTGCATGATTCTGGGCACCCAGTAAATGCAGTGTAACAAAAGAGGAATAAAACAGCTATACAGGGAAAAGAAACAATTCAAATTAGTAGAGCTCATTCTCAGTGGTAGGTGTGCCTAGTATCCCAGTTGAATAATCATGGAAAGAGCCAGGTTTTCAAGGCCGGGTCAGAGTTCTGTGAATTTCTTAGGCTCTACAAGATGATCCTGCTTAGTAGGACTCAAAGCATGCAAATTCTGTTTAATATTTATTTATTACATTTATATGCCACCCATTTCACTGTAAAAAAAGGATTATTGGATTTCACTGGACAGAGAGACACAGTAGAAGGCAGGCAGACCTACAAATCGATCCATATGGGGCTTATAGATGACAACCAGTACTTTAAATTGCATTTGGAAGCCAAGACGATTGACCCCTGGAAGCATAAGCATGGTGAGCACGTTTATTAAAATGCTGTTAAATAGGCATTTGGTTGATCCAAGTTTTCTTAATGTTTTTACTCTTCTGTGATTTGCCTGGATAATATATATTTGTTCAAATAATGATTATAATACATAGTGTTGCTGTCCCTAGGATTTGACCCACTTGGTTGCAAAATTCCCATTTTGCATTGTTCTTGCTTTCATTCTCACAGAAAAGCTACTGGCACATAATGCAATTATTTTTCAGTTGGCTTCTTACAAACTGGCTTCCGTGTGACTAGAACATGGGATTTCCTACTCCTAATCCAGCACCATAACCACTACAACACGTTGGCTCTCCACAATTCAAACCTGGTGTAGTACAAAAGTAACATCTTGGAGTTGAGCTGCTAATGCCATGCACTGCAATAATAGAGGGTATCTAAAGTTAGATGCAACCCTTCAAGTAACACAAGAGGGCACCCTGGCCACCTGTAAATTTGCCAAGGATTGATAATCAACATGAATTTTAAAAACCAATACAGTATCTTATTATTCACTGCCAATTTTAGCTGTCAGAGCATAATATTGAGAAGCTCTGTTTAAGTACTTACTTCTACAGAATTGGCCATGAGTTTATATATAATGCATCCAATATATTTAGAATGTGCATTTGAAAGTGTATCTGAATGAATGCAACTATTCCTTTATGCATCTTTGGGTCATTCTGGTGTAGAGGCTACTGCAACATAGATTTCATATTTCCAAACCCTGTAGTTCCTGAAGGCCTCAGACAGTGAAACAGAAGCCGGGGGTCACCACGTGTATCAATCCAGAGTGTGTTTCTCGGCTGCAGAGGCCTTTCCTGAAGGGCTCTGATGGCAAAAGAGAGGCTGGAGGTGGTGCGCGCAAGCAGTGGCAAGTGTCCACAGAAGTAGGCCAGCAAGGTGAAGATGGCGGAGCATGGGAGGCCTGTCTACAATTGTCCTAAAGTAAACTGATGCGGGGCACATGGAGCAGCTCCACCTTCTCCCCACCCTAGCTTGATTTTTATCCATGCGCCTCTCACCCCACCTCCTGCAACCAGGTGCAATGGTGTGGGCAGGGTCTTTTTTTTTTTAATAAAGTTTTATTTGGGTTTTCACACATACAAAATACAAGTAAAACATCTTTTTTGATGGTAGCATGGTCCCAGGTTGAACTTCTTTATACAGACACAAAATTCAATTTCATGCTCCTTTTTGTGTTCTATTCCATAACTTATATTATTCTACATTTTCCATATAGTTTCTCCCCTCTTTTAATTTCTCAATTTTATTTTGATAATCTCATCTCAATTCAAATCATTATATTTATACTTTTGTCTGTTCTGTTTCAATTTCATATTATCTTTTCTCATCAAACAAATTTTCTCCTGTAGTTACTAATTGGAGTATGACACCTTTATATCTTTTAATTACATTCATTCAACTCTTTTTAAAACTTCAATATATACCTTAAAGTTATGACCTTCAATATAATACATAATACATAACTTCCAATCAATTCTGCTTGGTACACTCTTATAATACACACTATATTCTTTAAGAAAAAGGATTATAAATATATGTAATTAAAGCCCTCATTCCATTCCAATTCAATTCTATCATTAATATTCATTAAAGTATTAACATCTTTAGCATTTCTTTTCAATTAAATATCATACTTCCTTAAAAACACATATAATCTCCATAATTAATTTTTCCCTTATTTCTCTTCACATATGTTTTGTAAATCATTAAATATTCATTTTTTTACATTTATTTATTGATAAGCATTCCACTGAATTACGATAGCTATTTTATCAAACATTTTAATCATACATTATTTCATATTTTCTAAAATTATTTCTGTTTCTAATATAACCATACTATCTTATGTACCTTTGCAGAATCCCTTTTTCCATTAAATTTTCACCCATTATCTCTAAATAGGCCCTGTTTCTCTACATTTTGTTTCTGTCCTTTATAACTTCTTTTCCTTTCTTTCTTCCCTCTCATCTTCTCCCTCCCCTTTTTACCCCCTTGTCTCCCTACTTCTAATTCTCTCTTTTGCATTTCCCTCTTCTGTTGCTTTCTGATTTTATACTTATTTTTCACTCTCTTTTTTTTTTGAGTTGTTTTTCCAAATCTTAAACTTTCCATTCTCTTTCCCCCCCTTTCCTTTTTCCCCCCACCTAAGATTACTTGTTCATTAAAGATGGCTTCTTCTTTGTCGCAATCTTCTTGTTCTGCAGGCATTTCTTGTTGTTTCTCATAATTCCAAATCTCCATTTCTAAAAACTGAAATACGAAGCCAAAAGAACCTCTCCCTTCTTGTGCATCTTCTTTGTACTTTTTAAGTTCCATTTTCAGTTCTTCTAAAAGTGGGGCCATTTTAAACAGTTTTAAACAACCACCTGATTGATTTTAGTCATTCAAATACAATAACCAAAAATCCAGAAATCATCAAGTAATCCAAATAGTCCCAAGTTATTTCTTCTTATTTCTTTTTCGACTTTCTCTTCCTGGGGTTTTTGTTGCGATATTTCAGTTAAAATGTATCTTTTGGAAGTCTTGTTGAGATTTTGCTGTAAGTTCTTTTTAATTCCAGGCAGTCTCCTCCCTTCCAGATCCTGCCCTTTTATTCTTTTTCTCTCCTTTCCTGTTTTCAAAAGCTTTTGATTATCCAGAAATCTTTATTATCCCTTTGTCTTTTTATTTTCAGCATTAAATGCCTATTAATGTCAAAGTGGATTTTTTCCCAATTTCTTGCTTAAGTCTCTTAGCTGTCAGTATAGGAAAAGGAGAAAAAAAACCAAATCTTTTCCCTTTTCTCTCTCCTTCGCAGCTTAAAAATCTTCTTAGGGAACAATGTTATTGTTTTTTTTTTAATAATTTCAATTCCAGGGTACCTTATTTGTTGCTTTTGCTGTTTGACCCGGTCAACCAAAACTTTCTCTTCTTATCTTCCTCCTGCACATTCTTTTCCGGTTGAGTTTTTCTTTGTGGTGGCCATTTCTGACCACTGCTACAACTGCCTTCGGGAAAGGGAGTAATGGCCAGCTGGGGAGGAGAGATGCGGCTCTCCTCAACCCTGCAGGCAGTCTCCCCCCTCTTCACCACCTCTACGGGATGGCTTAGCCCCGAAACCAGCCAGCTCGGGGCGCTCCAGCGGCGAGCATGGATCGAAGCCTCGCAGAGACGAGGTTTCGGTCTGTCACCGAAGAAGCTCAAACCAGAAGTTCCTGGCAGGGTCTTAATTAGCTTGTTTGG